CCTCGCTTATGTCTCATCAGCTCCCCCACCGGGACGCGAACCCAGGTTATGATAGTGCAGTCTACTACACGGCACTGCAAGTAGCAACCTCAGGTCAAGGGGCAAAAGTGAAGCTTAAGAAAGTCTAAACATTTCTCGTCACACTTTGTCTTTTGGGTTTGCCATAGAAATTGAATGTATTACTCATTTTCAGGTTATTATGTACGTTTTTAACACTACAGGTAAACCTTGATTAAGATATGCGTTCACCCTCGAAAGCCTACTTAAAAAAACAAAAATAAATAAGCGTAGATAAGAAGCTCAAGATATTGTGGTATCTATTTTAGTCGCAGTCTCCTTTCGATGTATTGTAGTCATTTGATCTTGTTTTCACACCTGGTTCATATTGAGAAGAAGACATAGAGGAACGCACCTTGTCCGGAGTTCATAGTATGCATGATAATCTCCCCAATGTACAATTGGGAATTTACCAAGTCAACGGTCTGACTGGAGATTATCATGCATACTATGGACTCCGGACAAGATGCCTTACTCTAGAAAATAAGTAAGGTTGTCGATTGCTATAGCAAATACAGCTCTGCTTCATCGACGATATCGCCAGACGAAGTTTTATGGGCAACGTTTAGTCTTTCTTGAAATTCACTTTTGCCTTGCGACCCGAGGTTACTCTCAGCAATGTGGTGTAGTGGTTAACGTGTCGAGGCCATAAGCTGCAATATCAAAATCTGGATTAGAGTCCCTCTGGGGGCGCCGATGAGAGAAATGCGAGGTCGAAACTGTAGTCCAGCCTCAATGCAAATGCCTTTTGGCGAGCAACAATATATCAACTTCAATGAAAACTTGCAGCCTATTCATATCATTGTTTCAGAATTGAACAAGCAGTCCTTTATCATGTTAAACGAAATGGAGAGAAAAAGCTCTTATTCTGTCTATTTAGCACGGCTTTGCCTAGTTTAATGTTTCTCTCCTGTAAGAAATCTGACCCCTCTTTATTTCATCCAACACGTGGTTATATTAAATACCGTTTTGTTCCTCGACCCACATCAGCATATCTTTGCCTACCTTAAGGGTCTTTCTGAGAATGTTTTGCTCAACCTTATCAAATGTACTGAATAGTTTCCACCATCCCCATTCAGGAGTCGCAGATGGCTGAAAAATACGGTGAAAAACTACTCTGACTGTCAGCGTCTTGTACGCGAGGCGACTTCCAATGACCCCTGGGGACCGAGCAGCTCAAGCATGCTCGAGATCGCTGTGGCTACTCAGTCGCCGATACATTATGAGGAAATAATGAGTTTACTATGGAGCCGATTGCAGGACAAAACCAAGTACTGGCGTCATATCCTAAAGTCTCTGATCGTCATGGAATACATAATGAAGGTCGGCAATCAGGCTGTGAGTTTCGTTTAATTAACTTTAGCACAGAAGTTGCCTCAAAGGCAACTCTTACTCTTGGTCAAAAATCATATATATCTTACATTCTTAGCTCGGGAATGGCAGAAGGTGGGCTTGATTTGTAGGTTTGTAGAAGGGGCAAAGGATAGACAGAATTCGGGGAAAGAACTGTGTCTAAAGCGGAATGAGAATGGTGGTATTTACTTTAGGTGAAGACTTGTGAAATTCTTTAAATAGATAAAATTTGTTATTTATATAAAATGGAAGTGGATCAAAGATCTATGTCAACTGGACAGAGTTGCCAATGTTGCTAGGCCTCTAGTAAGTTCTAGGGGGCAAAGAAACCAAAGCAATCTTAGATGCGATTCAAAATAAGCTTCTCTCAATTTGGAAATTCACACAAGCTTGAAAAGAGGCTGATTCGCATGTTCTATGGTTACAAAGCTGTGGTCATAGTTGAGAGGACGCAATTTAAACAGGAGTAGTACAGTTAGGTTGGGCAATTATTGCATATGATCAAGAGATTGTTGGGATGGGATTGGGTGAGCCTATTGTATGGGCATTGGTGATGACTGGAGGGGGAGGAGTATCTGGAAACTCAGATCAGAATCCCTGACAACTCCATGAAATCTACCAGCCTCCTTAGGCGGGACTCACTCTTAGCATTCTTTGCCCACCTGTTCACAAAAAGTAACAGACGAAATGAAATGAAGGATCAAAGTTGCTTTTTGGAATCAATTTTTTCGCCATAAATCAGGGAGAACAGAGCCTACAGGTGATTGGTATTGTTAGCAGAGGAGGATAAATAAGCTACTAAATCTGAGGCTCGCGATATGGTGTGCAGACTAAAAGCAAGCCTTCTCGAGAAAAGGCTAAGCTTCGCTGTTGCAAGAATATAGATCAATCAAGGTACGAAAATCAAGATGGTTTAGCCCTTACTATGGTCACAAACTCCTTTTGTTGGTCCTATTGTCATAGAGATATAGATTAACCATAGTAGCCACGATACTCTTCTAGCGTCTGACAGTGAAGTTGATATATTCTCAGACGTTTTGCCAGCATCGTAATCTGGATAGTCATTGAGCCTTACTACTTTTTGACACCCAACTAAAACTCGTTAAAGAGGAAAACTAAACCCATCCCTCGATAAACTTTATGCAGATGAATTGTTGCACCAGCACAGGAAACTGGCAGGGCTCATTTACGATGCAGGCGAAACGTCTGGAAAGGTACCAAGTACAGGGTTCAGCCATGGAAAGTATCATGACTTCTATGATAGAGGATTTCGGACAGGATTCCTCCGCCCTGGCCTTTCTGACAACACGGCCAAATTGCGAAAATGTTGCTAAACTACTATCTGAGCATATAAATATTAATTAATTAATTAATGCATGACGTGTACAAAACTAATGACATTTGCAATTAATTTTAGTGATTATGGCAACACAATTTCCTTTCTTATTATCCGCTATAACGAAATTTCCATTTATATGTAGGTTTTTGAGACTAGCAGTGGATCTTAGTTAAGAGTAGTATTCAACCTATTTCGTTTAAAATGATAAAAGATTGGTAATACAATTTTTCCACAATTATATGAGTAAACCTAATCTTTCACATAATCTTGCTTCCTAATAGACATTATTATCCAAAGGGGACTGCAGTTTCGACCTCGCCCCTGTCGCATCAGCACCCCCAGCGGGACTAGAATCCGAGTCAAAACTGCAGTTTAGTCCAGTCCAGCTTTAAGGAGAATACCTTTCGGGAAATAAGGGTATATGAGATTAAATTGAAACATGAGGCCTCTCATAGCATAGTGGGAAACTTCGAACAAAAAGCATTCATCACCGTAAACGAAATAGAATTAATACGCTATTTATATAACGAAAGTTAATTGGAACAAATTAAAGTTAACAGTCTCAAAAGTTTCGTTATAAAGATATATAGCTTGTATATACATAGAAAGCAAATATTTAGCATATATAGGCTATAGGGCTTCAAGGGTCACCCAAACCTCTTGCTTATGCAAACCAAGGCCTAAAATGACTTAGTGCTAACCATGCAGGGCGTAAGGGCATTAGTATTGGACCCCACTGTTCCTCTGCCATGACTTTATTCAGTTTACTTTCGCAGTGAAGCGTAACCTCAATACGAGCCCTGTCGATGGTATTCGATATTTCATACGTCCTCACAGCAACAAAATGAATCCCCACTTGTATGACAATTACGATGATACTTCGGCCAAGCTCAAGCATAAGTGAGCACATAAAAAGCGATTGGCTCCTTCACATTTGCCGATTTCGCAATCAGCTTTGTTCAGGAGACGATGAGGGGCAGAATCATCAACGCATTCTCCAGCTGTAAGATCAGACCGTCTAGCAAGTTGTTAAATCCACATATCATATGTACAAAGCCAGTTTAGGTGTTTTGAGCTATTTTTCCCCTAAAATGAGTGATGTCTATCATGGGATTCAATGTCTCTTCACATTATTTTATTCCAAATAGACTTTCACTAACCTCGTTTCAAAGCTAATCTCGTAACTTATTGTAATCATTCCTGCCTCTTGAATAGCGCTCTCGCATAGCCTATATCCTACCCCTTCTTCTCCTTCATGGTTTTGACATTATGAGGTTTATTTAGCGAGAAGCTACCGGTTGCGTATAAGAAATCTCGTTTTCTGAAGAGGTTTTGCGAAAAAAAGTTGGGTTTCGAGGAATCTTTTGTTTCATAATTATTGAGCTTACTTCCATTTCGAGTGAAAGTGTTGCGTGAAGGGATTCGAAGGTCGGTTCCACCAGAAGACGACGGCGGATTCCTCTTGATGAGCTGTCGATTAGCTTTACTGGAAGATTCATGTTGACGCTATTTCCGAGGCAATCTCCTTCGATTCCGGTGAAAAGGTGCTAAGCTTTCGTCCGTCATATGAC